CTCGATCGATCTCACTATCGATCTCACTCGATCGATTGCACTGTCGATCTCACTCTGGATTTCGCTATCGATCCCACTAACGAGCTCTCGATCTCACAATCGATATCACTATTCATCTCACCATCGATCTCACTATCGATCTCACGATCGATCTCACTATCGGTCTCACTATCGATCTCACTATCGATCTCACAATCGATTTCGTCATCGGTCTCACTATCGTTTTCGCACCAGCGGGACACAAGGACACCGGCGGGACACAGGCGGGATACCAGCGGGACACCGCGGGCCACCGCTTGCCGGAGGGAGAATCATTTGGTCCGGCCGGGGCCTAGCCACAGGAGACTTTTTTCTCGCCCGCCCACGCAGCTTCGCCTCGCCCGCACGCACGGCACGCACGAACGCGAAACCGAAACCGATTTCCTGGTGAGGGGCTCTCCGTTCCACTTCGATCTCACCCCCCAACCTCCGACAACGAGTGTGCGCGGCGCGAAGGCGATACCCACATTTTGAAAACTACTCGCTTTAAATCCGTAAAGCCAGCGCACATGTTCAAAATAATGTGCGCAGCGCCAATGCGAGAGCCACATTCCCCAAGTGGGCTTGCCAAATAAAGGGTTCTTACTTGGTTAAAGGTTGGTGCCTAATAATGTTACGTTGCCCGTTCCTCGGAGGTTCCCCGGGCTCCTCGGGTTCCCCGCCCCTGGTGCCTCCTATTCTTACGCTGCCCGTTCCTCGGGGGTTCCTCGGGTTCATTGGGTTCCTCGGGCTCCAGGGGTTCCTCGGGTTCCCAAGGTTCCCTGGGTTCCTCGGGTTCCCCGGTTTTCTCGGGTTCATTCCCCAATTAGGCTTGCCTGAGGCAATGCCAAGCAACGCCAAGCAATGCCAAGCAATGCCAGTCAATGCCAAGCAATGCCTGGCAATGCCAAGCAATGCCAAGCAATGCCAATCAAATGCCAAACAGTGCCAAGCAATGCCAAGCACTACCAACCCAATGCCGAGCGATGCCCAGCAGTGCCCAGCAATGCCCAGCAATGCCAAGCAATGCTAAGCACTACCAAGCAATGCCAATCCAATGCAGGCCAGTGCCAGGCAATGCCAAACCATGCCAAGCAATGCCATCCCAATGCCAAGCAGTGCCAAGCAATGCCAAGCAATGCCAAGCAATGCCAAGCAACGCCAACCGATGTCAGCACATGCCAAGCGATGCGCCCAACGATGCGCCCATGAAATAAGCTTTCCCCTAATTGGGGTCGCGCTGGGTTCATTTTGCAAACGACCCGCCCTTCATCTGTAAAGCTGTTGTCAGCTTTTTTTGGCTTCAGGCTCATAAATGGTAACCACAGGCGAAACGCCCAGCCCGCCCTTCCGACTGACCTCGGGGTGCGACAGGGAAGAGTTACTCATACATAAAAAGAGCGGAACTGGAGGAGGAGGAGGAGGAGGAGGAGGAGGAGGAGGAGAAACAGGAGGAGAAAAAGGCAGGAGAAGGAGGAGGAGCAGGACGAGGAGGAGGAGCCAGAGCAGGAGGGGGAGGAGGAGGAGGGGGAGGAGGAGGTGGAGGAGGAGGAGGAAGATGGAAGATCGCCAAAAGAGGCCCCGGGAAGCCCGGGAAGGCTCCTGCCAGGGGGGAGGCCCCTGAATACCCCAGGAGGCCCTGGGAAAGGTTCAGGAGGCCCATGAAGGAGGCAGGAGGAGGAGGAGGAGGAGGAGGAGGAGGAGGATGAGGACGAGGAGAAGGAGAAGGGGGAGGAGGAGGTGGAGGAGGAGGAGGAAGATGGAAGATCGCCAAAACAGGCCCCAGGAAACCCAGAAAGGCTCCAGGAGGTGCCAGGGGGGAGGCCCCAGAATACCCCAGGAGGCCCCGGGAAAGGTATAGGAGGCCCATGGAGGAGGCAGGAGGAGGAGGAGAAGAAGGAGGAGGAGAAGGAGGAGGTATGAGGATGATGTAGGCTAACAAAGAAGATGTTGATGACGACGATGATGATGCTGATGATGCTGATGATGCTGCTGATGCTGATGATGATGCGGATGATGCTGGTGATGTTGATGATGATGATGATGATTGTGATGGTGATGATGCTGCTGCTGATACTGATGGTGATGTTGCTGATGCTGATGGCGATGCTGATGATGATGCTGATGATGCTGATGATGCTGCTGATGATGGTGAGGATGCTGATGCTGATAATGATGATTATGATGGTGATTATGATGATGAGGAGGAGCATGCTGATGATGATGACGATGGTGATGCTGATGACGATGATGATGACGATGCTGATGATTATGCTGATGATGCTGCTGCTGATGACTATACTGATGCGGATGCTGGTGATGATGATGATGATGATGCTGCTGCGCACGACGATAATTCTGATGCTGATGATGACGATGAGGATGCTGCTGCTGCTGGTGATGCTGATGCTGATGCTGATGAGGATGGTGCTGATACAGATGATCATGACGATGAGGATGCTGCTGCTGCTGATGAGGATGATGATGTTGACGCTGAGGTTGATGCTGCTGACAATGATGAAGATACTGATGCTGATGAGGATGATGATGTTGACGCTGATGGTGATGCTGATAGTGATGAAGATGATGATGGTGATGATGATGCTGCTGATGATGATGATGATGATGATGCTGATGATTGTTGATCATGGTGATGCTGATGCTGCTGGCGAGGATGATGTTTATGATGCTGATGATGATGCTGCTGATGATGATGATGATGCTGATGATGATGCGGATAATGATGATGATGATGCTGATGCGGATGAGGAGAAGGAGGAGGAGGAGGCAGAAGGATGAAGAGGAGGGGGAGGAAGATGAGGCATAAGGATGATGAGGAGAGGGAGGCGGCACGGGGATGGGGCCGACGGCGGAAGAGGCAGGAGGAGAAGGAGAAGCCAAGAGGATGCGGCAGGAGGAGAAGGATGAGGAACAGGCAGGATGAGGAGGGGGAGGAGGAACAGGCAGGAGGAGGAGGAGGGGGGAGGAGGCGAAGAAAAGGAGGAGGAGGCGGCAGGAGGAGGAGGAACAGGCAGGAGGAGGAGGAGGAGGAGGAGGAGGAGGAGGAGGAGGAGGCAGGAGGAGGAGGAGGAGGAGGAGGAGGAGGCAGGAGCAGGAGGAGGAGGAGGAGGCAGCAGCAAGTATGAGGGGGGGGGGCAGGAGAAGATCCCCAAACAAATTAAACGTACCGGGGTGCTACCGTCGGAGTAAGTACAAAGGATCGTTGTTGCATGACAAGGGGTGAGAACACGGCTCTGTGCACCGTAGGGCATTCTTGTACAAGGGATCGTAGCCGTCTGACAGCAGTCATAGCACGGCCATGGGGCGGGGTTCTTATTGGGAATAGAACACTGTGGTCTTGTTTTGAATCAAGCCCTGTGGCCTCCACTCTCCCCCACCCCTCCATCTTCCTCCCCCTCCTCCTGCCTCCTCCTGCCTCCTGCCTCCCCCTCCTGCTGCCTCCTCCCTTGCTCGAAGCTGTCCCACTGGGGGGCTGCGAGCTGCGCTGCTGTCGCCACGCTCGTGGGTTCCCGAGAGGCACGGCGGAGGTGCGCAGCTCGCTTCATGACCTCGCGGCTCCGTCGGGGGGGGGGGGGGGGCGGACTGCGCAACCGTCGCCGCTTTCGTGGGCTCCTGGGAGGCACGGCGGAGGTGAGGGCAGCGCAGCTCACTTCGAGACCTCGCGGCTCCGACGGAGGCTGCGACCTGCGCCACCGTCGCCATTGGAGGGCTCCGCTCCTGGGAGGCACGACGGAGTGCAGGGCCGCGCGGATCCCGTTCAGACCCCGCGGCTCCGTCGGGGGCTGCGAACCGCGCCACCGTCGCCACCGCCGCGGGCTCCTGGGGGGCACGGCGGAGGCGAGGGCCACGCCGCGGAGCCTTGCGAGGCCTGGCCGCCGCCGGGGGCTGCGAACTGCGCAACCGTCGCCACGTTCGCGGGCCCCTGGGAGGGCAGGGCGGAGCGCAAGGCCACGCGGGTCGCTTTGAGACCTCGCGGCTCCGTCGGGGGCTGCGCAGCCGTCGCCACGTTCGTGGGCTCCTGGGAGGTCCAGCGGAGGCGGCAGGCAGGCGAGACCTCCGGGCTTCCTGGGAGGCTGCGGACTGCGCAACCGTCGCCACTCTCGTGGGCTCCTGGGAGGTCCAGCGGAGGCGGTAGGCAAGCGAGACCTCGCGGCTCCCTGGGAGGTTGCCAATGGCGCCACTGTCGTCACTTCCGTAGGCTACCGAGAGGTCCAGCGGAGGCGGTAGGCAGGCGAGACCTCGCGGCTCCCTGGGAGGCTGCTGGCTGCGCAACTGTGGCCACTTCCGTGGGCTTCTGGAATGTCTGGCGCAGAGTAGATTGTCCTCGCAATGTGTTCTTTTATGTTGAGCGTTCATATGACTAGTCGCCTCGCGTGGAGAAGCGATTGGGCACGTCTCGGGTTAAATGGTTTCACGGGATCGTGGCCGTGTGACGGGGGCGAATCCACTGCCATGTGCACCGTTGTGTATGTTTTACCCAGGGGGCGTGGCCGTCAGGACCAAATATGCAGGAGAGCCCAGAATCGAATCGACAAGTCGGATCGGTAATCGAAATACACCGGATCGGAGGCAATCGGCAACCCAGTCGGGAAAAGTCGGATCGGCGGAAATCGGCAGGCTAGTATGCCTCCAATGAGGAATCGGAGCCCGAATCGGAACCCCAAATCGAATCGAATCGTGATCGTGGGAAACCATCGAACTCGAATCGAATCGAATCGGAGGCATCGAAATGAGCCCTGAATGTGTAGTGGGTGTTCAGGAGAGAGCACGACTCCTGAACACATTGTGAGGAAATATCCGGCGAAGCCGCTGCCGCACTGGCTGCCAGACTGAACCTCTTTGGGCTCCCCGCCCCCCTGTGGGCCTCTTCTGTGGCCGCTTTTTTACCTCTAGCAGTGATACCTCTGGCGAAACGCTACGGGGGAACAAGCACATGAGCGACTGGACAAGCTAAGCTCGGCTCGAACATGTTCACGGAGGCCAAGTGGTCCATGATCCCTGGGCGCGCGCTGCAATCTCGGGAGGGTCAGGAAAGCTGCGCCTGTTGTTACCATCTTCCCGTCTGACTGGCACCTGGGTGAAAAAAAGAACCCAGGGGGAAGCATGGTGGAGGGGGAAGAGGAGGAGGCATGAAAGGCCACGCATGTATCCAATCTTGGCCGTGGGCCCATGATGCGCTCAGACATCTGCCGCCTCCGACTCCCAGCTGATCCTACGGCGGAGCGCCAGACGAGAAGTCCTTGGGCGATGCCAAAGAGCGCGGGACCCTACCGGTGCAGGCAAAGGTTGGCACCCTATGGGCAGGACATGATGGGCGGGACGCTTCCAGGAGTTGCCAACGGCTGCCTGGGCCCAACGGCACCCGCGGTCTACGCCGTGTTGGGACCCCTGGTGCCCTCTGTGAAGGGGCCCCAGGACACACAAATACACACAAATAAAAAGATTCCCCATCTTTTCCGATATTTTCTGGGTTTCTGTCTTCCCCCCCACTTCTTATACTTTCCCATATTTTCTGGGGAATCGTCGATTCATTGTGTCTGTGTTTTTCCCCTCCTGACTGGTGCCCTCTGGGTCTCGTGATGGGGCACTCTGCAGGCCACCTGTCGGCGGCGAGCCTGGGGGGGGGGGAATTGCGAAGGGGCCGCCTTCGAGAAGGTTTCCCGCGCCTTCCCCCCGACACGGAACACTTCTGCCGAAGGCGCGAGGGCCTCCGAGAAGCCCCGCCGCCGTCTGAGCAGGCCTGCCCCTTCTCGCTTCCCCCCCGCAGCTCGCCGCCGCACCTGGGCCTCCCTGGAAAAGCCGGGGCCACTTTCGGGGATCTTCTGACCCGGGTCCATCCAGACCCGGGTCAGCAGGAAACCCAAGAACTGCAGTGCACGAAACAGAGACTGCAATGCAGCCCTTCGCAAGCCAAGGTCGGCCAACATGCGCGGCCGCCTCGCGGCCACCAGCGGCTCGCTAACCCGGGTCAGCCAGAGGGGGTCTTCGCAGGATCCTGCAGGATCCGGTGCCCTGGCTGACCCCCGTTTGCACTGACCCCCGTCTCTTGGGCCCCGACACTTTGGGCCAGCTGCACCTCTGGCAGCACACCCGGACTTTGTGGGGGGTTTGCCACCCCCCCCCCCGGGGGGGCGGGGCTGCACGGGCAGGCCCCTCCGCGCGGGGCCCTCTGCCACGGGGGGCACGACGACCCCAATCCCGGCCGGACCTTGTGTGGGAGTTTCGCTCGGACGCGTCATCTTGAGCGCCCAGATCGGGGCTACGCGGGAGGGGGGGGGCGCCCATCCTCGATAGAAGTGGAGGTTCCAGCCTCCTATCTGCTGGAAGACGCGTGCCTGCGCACTCATGCGCCACCCCTGGAGCTGGAGATTTGCAGCAGGGTCGAGGGTGGCCACATCGAGACGCCCACGAGACGGCCACGGACGGCAAGCCGCCGACCAGGGGGCCCTCGACAGGGATGCGTCCGAACGTTCCCCCCCTGCTTTCTGCTTGGCCATGTTTTGTGGTGTGCGGCGGGGAGGAGGAGGAGGAGGAGGAGGAGGAGGAGGAGGAGGAGGAGGAGGAGGAGGAGGAGGAGGAGGAGGAGGAGGAGGAGGAGGAGCAGGAGGAGGAGAAGGAGGAGGAGGAGGAGGAGGGGAGAAGCGCATCGCCGGCGCCTCCGGGTGGCGCGGCCGGCCCCCCACGGTCGCGGGGGGCCCCTTGCCATCGCTCGGACTTTGGGCTCTGAGGCTCTGTTGGCTTTAATGTCTTTCATGCTTCGGCTTCGGGTTGCGCTTTGCGGTGCAAGCCACGGCCAGGAATGCCTCCATTAGAAGAAACTGCGCGCGGGGGGTAACTCGCCAAGGACGACTCGTAAAGGACGGGGAGAGGTGGAAGGCAGGAGGGAGAGGAACTGACAGCCCCCCACCCCTTTCCCTTGACACCGCTGTTCTATGTTCGGGCTTTCCCTTTCCTTCCCCTTTCCTGCTCTCTCTCTCTCTCTCTCTCCTGCTCCTCCTTTTCTTCCCTCCTCTCCTTCTCCTCCTCCTCCTCCTTCTTATGCTTATTCCTCTTTTTCTTATGATCTGTCTTATCACCTGCTCCCTCTGCTCCTTCTGCTCCTGCTCACCCGTCACGCCTTCAGGACGCACCTTGAGTGAAGCCGGTGCACTCCACGATCTGCTCGGGACAAGTGTGTGTCCAATCTACCGGAGGCGCCTCCTGGGCCGAAGCCAGCTGCGCAGAGAAACGGTACGACGATGACGGAGGAAGGAGGACGAGCCAGGAGCTCTGCGGAGCGACGACCGGGTGGCGACTTCCGAGTGGTGCCTGCGTCGCGGGCCCGCGGATGACGCCCTCTGGCATGCGCCCGCGCGTCGACCCCTGAGGCGAGGAGTCCCTTCGGGGTGCCGGGTGGATCGCCAGAAGCAGCTGATGCTGGTGCTGCTCGGTCCTGCTCCCGCTTGGATCTCCGTCTCCTCCGGCTGCTGCTGCTGCTTCCGCTCCTGCTGCTGGAGCTGCTGCTGCTGCTGCTCCTCCTCTTGCCCCTCCTCCCCCCCCTCGCGTCCTTCTCATCCCGCACCCCCTCTTCTCCTCCTCCTCCTCCTCATGCGAAGCGCCGCGCCTGCCATTGCACTATCCGTCAGCTCAGGCAGAGAATTGAGGAGCGTGGTCCGGAAGCGATCCCGCTGGTTCTCCAAGTCGGAAGTGTAGAAGGCTCGCATTTGGCGCATCCGCTGGCCAGCGATTATGGCCCCGCCAGGGCCACGGCCTCTTCCTCCCCCTCCTCCTCCTCCTCTGCCGCTGCCTTTTCCTCCTCGCCCTTCTCTGCTTATCCGTTTGGGGGAAGCGTGGATCTGGCATTTCTGCGGTCACACCACAAGACCCTGTGCTGTCCCTGTGGGGGCATCATTTGAAGTGAAGACTTCCGGGCGAGCAAGACTCGACTCCAAGGTCAAAGCGAAGGGGCCGAACGGTCTTACACCATCACTGGGGGCGTGCCTGAAATGTGCCGCCGCGGTGAATATTCTTGTTGAGTTCGCACCCCTTCGGACGAATCATTAATGTTGATCTCTCTTCCGCGGTGCTCATTCTAACTTTCAATTGAAGTGCCCCTCCCCGGCTCGTACAGTTTTATATCAAAGACAAGACAAACAATAGTGTTACGAATGATTCTAGTAATCGTAGGAGTCGTAGTAGAAGTAGTAGTAGTAGTAGTAGTAGTAGTAGTAGTAGTAGTAGTAGTAGTACTAGTAGTAGTAGTAGTAGTAGTAGTAGTAGTAGTAGTAGCATTAGTAGTAGTAGTAGTAGTAGTAGTAGTAGTAGTAGTAGTAAAAGTAGTAGTAGTAGTAGTAGTAGTAGTAGTAGTAGTAGTAGTAGTAGTAGTAGTCGTAGCAGCAGCAGTAGTAGTAGTAGTAGTAGTAGTAGTAGTAGTAGTCGTAGTCGTAGTAGTAGTAGTAGTAGTAGTAGTAGTAGTCGTAGTAGTAGTAGTAGTAGTAGTAGTAGTAGGAGTAGTAGTAGTAGTCGTAGAGTAGTAGTAGTAGTAATAATAGTATGTAGTAGTAGTAGTAGTAGTAGTAGTAGTAGTAGTAGTAGTAGTAGTAGTAGTAGTAGTCGTAGTCGTAGTCGTAGTCGTAGTTGTAATCGCAGTAGTAGTCTAATCAAATTATAACCACAGCACTTGTAATTATACTACTGATCATAAGAAGGGAAAACTTACGCTTCAGACAATTCTCCAAACCCCTAGTTTACAACAACAGCGGCTCACGCCTGATACTATGTCACTGTAGATTCGAAATCGCGTTTTCGCGCGGGACGTCCTCACAATTTCTAAAAAGGAATCGCGCTCCTGCGTGGGACGTGTTGATGTTTTTTGAAACACCAGGCCCTCGACACTGGAGAATTCCACTCTCGTTATGGACTTGCTCACAATGTACTTTTGAATCGCGCTGTCGCTCGAAACGTCCTGGGGATCCATGGAAGACCGATGCTTCAGCGACCGGCCCGCTCGACCCAGCCGTGTGGGACCGGCCGCACAAACCGCCCGTTAGGGCCCGCCCGCCCGACCCGCCCGCCTAGTTCTGCCCCTTGTTCTCCTGCTTATAATTCCCTTCCTGCTAATCTTTCTCGTGGTCCATCATTCTCCCTCGCCCTTGTTCCTTTCCTCCTCCCACCCTTCTCCGAAGCTGCGTCAACTACAAGTGGCCCGTAAAGAAGATATGCCCCCAAGGGGATATGATCGAAGACAAAAGGGTGGGTATCGATGGTTCGAGATTGACACTTTGAATGGAACGCGGGCGCATGAGCGCGAACACTCTGCAAATGATTGTTGTTGTTGCTGCTGTTGTTGTTGGCGTTGTTGTTGTTGGTGGTGTTGTTTCGGTTGAACTCTCACAGATGAAAAATAATAGTAAGTGTTGTTGCTCAATTTCGGGGTATATCGTATTCTTGTAAAAGTTAAATGCCTTTTTCCGGGGCTGGCACCCTGTTTTCTTAGTCAGGGAAGGTCTTGGGTCTCAGACTTGGGCCCCTGGCCCCCGAGTTACAACAGGAACGGCTCCCGCCTGATACTTCCTCACAGGTTATTCCCAAATCGCGCTGTCCCGCGGGACCTCCTCACAAATTATGCAGAAATCGCGCTCTCGCGTGGTACTTCCTCTCGGTTCATTCAGGCGCCGCGCCTTCGACACTCAGGAATCACGCTGTCGTTTTGGCCCATCTCACGATGTACTTGGTAATCGCGCTATCGCTCGAGACTCGCGATTCATGCAGGACGCACGCTTCAGCAACCCGCCTGCTCGACCTGGCCTCCTGGGCCTGCCTTCCCGACCCGCCTGTTAGGGTCTACCCGCTCGATCTGCCCGTCTGCTTCTGCCACGTGTTTTCTGCTCCTACCCCCCCTCCTGCTACTCTCTCTCTCTCTCGTGCTCCATCCTCCTCCCTCCCCCTTGTCCCTCTCTTCCATCCGTCCTCTCTTCCCTTGCCGTAGGGGCTGCATGCAATACACGTTGCGGGAAAGAAAGATGTACCCACAAAGGGGTACAATCGAAAACGAAAAGGCAAAGTATTGAGGGTTTGGGGTATATGTATTGAGTGGCATGAGAACAGATACTGGCGAACAGTCTTAAACCGACGGTTGTTGTTGTTGTTGTTGTTGTTGTCGTTGCTGTTGACGTTGAATCCTCATCTTAAACAACAATGATAATTGTAGTTGGTCCCTCCTCCGGTATTTATGTTTTTTCAAGTCAAGTGCTTCTCCCTGGGCTCGCAGCCCGTTTTTTGTATGTTCTTCTTGCTTTGGTTTCCATTTTCTACAGGGAACGAATGGCCACCAAACTCGGCTGTTGGGCTCCGAACTATAACAGCAACGGCTCCCGCCTGACACTTCCTCGCAAGTTATTACACAATCGCGCTCTCGCGCAGGGCTTCCTCACAATTGAGAGAGCGTGATCCACCGCCGCTTTACTGTGGAAAATTGCCCCCCTCTTCCTCCGGAACCCGGGGGTCCCCCCCCCCCCCTCCTCCGAAAATCCCCTCCCCCCCCCCCCTGCCCCTCCCCCGGCAAAACCGCCCCTCTCCCCTAACCCCTCCCCCCCCCCCCCTCGAAAACGGGAGGGGGGTCACTACCGGTTCGACCCCCCCCCTCTGGCTGGCTCCGCGCCAGGGGCGGCGCCGGAGGCGCCGCCTGGAGGGCCCGGCGCGGAGCCAAGGAATCCGCGCAGAGAGCCAACAGTTTCTGATTGTGGCATGCTTTTCGTTCTTCGAGAGACGGGCGCAGATCGCGGGCGGGTCGTCGACCTGTCGCAGACGGGTTGGGGGGCTGGTCGCGAGGCGGGCCGCAGGCGGGTCGTGGGGCGGGCCGCGAGCGCGGGCCGCGGCGGGCACGGGCGGGCTGGCTGCTCTGGGCGGCTCTGGGCCGGCCGGCGGGTCGAGCTGTGCGGGCGGGTTTGGCCTCTTGCGGCAGCTTGTTGGGGTCGTATCCCCCTCCCCCCCGGGGTGGAATCTCGGGTTCCTCTTGGGCCACTCTAGGGTCACCTGGGCCCCGTCGGGGACTCCGTGGCCCATTCCGCAGCCCCCAGGGCCTCCTCCAAGCCTCGGGCGACAGGCCTGGAGGATCCAAAGAGGCCTAAAGACCACCAAGTGCCCCACCAGACGCTCCAAGATGGTTTCAAGAGAAGCCGAACTGGTCCTCGAGACGGCTCCAATATTTCCAAATCGGCAGCGCACCCCGCCAGACGGCCCCCAGATACCCCACAACGACCCCAAGACGGCTCTAAAGTCGCCCTGAGAGACTGCCAAAGATCCGCGCGCGTCCCAGGCCCCTCAGGCCCAGAAAGCCTCCAAAGGACCCGAGACGTATGGAGGGAGGGAGGGAGGGAGGGAGGGAGGGAGGGAGGGAGGAGGAGGGGGAGGAGGAGGAGGAGGAGGAGGAGGAGGAGGAGGAGGAGGAGGAGGAGGAGGAGGAGGAGATGTGAGGTCACCCGCATGCGCGCTCGTTTCCACTGGTCTCGCTCCTCAGTCCCTCCCCTCACCGCTCTTCGCTCCCTCCTTTCACCGACTTCTTCCGTTCACTCTGTTTGATGAGATGGCCCCAGCTTGCCCTCACGACGGCCCTGGGACAGCTCTAACCGGCCCCCAACCGTCCTTCAACGGCCCCTCCACGCCGCCAGACGGTCACCACATATCTAGATCTCAAACCATCCGCACACGCACCCCGACAGCACGAGGGTTCCCGAATCGGATCAAGAGGCCACCCCCCCAAAAGCTCCAAGAGGGCCCAACGAGAAGGCCAGGATGTGACCAAGCGCAGGGTCCTCGATTGTCCTCGAGACTTTCCCTACCCAACCCTCTTCACATCTCAATTCCTTTCCTCCTGTTCGTTCTCCTCCTCTCACTTTTTCGGCCCCGATACCTCATGCACTCTCCCCGTACTTCCCAACCCTCCGCCCTCGCGCCTTGGCGCAGCAGTTCTCTAACTCCTGCCATTTTCTATCCCCTTGCTGATCGGACGGTTCCTGCCCGTCATCACGTGCGGTAATACGCTTCGCGTCCTCGCCACATTCCTGTCCCAGCGCCCCAACCGACCCGAGAGGCCCCCGTGAATGCCATGACACTCCAAAACGGAGGGTCCCAATTTCCCCCCGCTGCCTTCCCAACCCACCATCTTTCATCTCGATTCCATTTCCTGTGTTCCACCTCCTCTTCTCACTCTCGGCTCCGATGGCTCCTGCACCCTTCCCGTGAGCTTCCCAATCCTCCCCCTTGACCCTGGGAGGTCTGACGCGGTGCAATACACGCGCGTGGCCTTCGCGACCCTATCCGCGTAGCGCACCCGAAACATCACGCCGCATCGGCAAGCGTGGCCCCTGCCAACGGCCCACTCCGGTCACGTTTTCTTCCATGTGTGTTCGCAACTTTTTTAGTGTGCGTGTATACTGCTCCGTATCCATATGTGGGGATGTGGCGACGTCTGTGCATAATATGTGCGTATGCACACAACCAAACCTCGTGTATGACGAGAGCGACTGCTCTGCCGTGAATCGAATATTCTCGCGTGTTTGCAGGTGGGGGCTGCGGCGAAGCCACCCAAATGAGCAGACTTGACTTCCTGATGTCCTTCTCCTTCTTCTCCAACTCCTCGCGAGGATCGTGATCATCATGCGAAAGGATAGGGAAGGATGGATTACGGGAGGCCATAAGAAAAAGAGGGCGGGAGGCAAGCGATACAAATGAGGATGAGGTGGAACAGGAGGGGAATCAGCATAAGGAGGAGGACGACCAGAGTAAACCCAAGATGCGTCAACGATGCCACAGTGCACCCCTCTGTCCCAAGGCCACCCAGCATGCGCTCCTACGCGCGTAGATTTTCTCTCCACGGGGAGCGCCCACCTTGAACGTCGAACGCCCCATAAGCCTGCCGCTCATGCGAATAGCGCATCCTTCGAACTACGAGGAGCACGAAGACGAACATGCCAGACCAGAACAGGTCAAATGCATGTCCACAACGAGGGCCCTGGTTCGAAACGGAGCCGCTCCCCCAACGCAGTACTGTGTTGCACAAGTCTAAGGTCATGGTCGTGCAGGCGATGGGGGAACGCTCAAGCGGGAGAACCATTCTGGGAAACAACCGCCTTCCGCCCATGTAGCTGTCCCGCACAGCGTGTACTTCCCAAAGCAGTGCCCGTTCCCAGGGGTTAGCACCTGCCTTCTCACGTCTCCGGGCAGCGTGCTTCGTGGCCTCTGCCTGGTGGCCACCCTCGGGCGCGGCCCCCTCCCCCTCCCCCTCCTCCTCCTCCCCCTCCTCCTCCTCCTCCTCCTCCTCCTCCTCCTCCTCCTCCTCCTCCTCCTCCTCCTCCTCCTCCCCAGAAGGGGGGGCGTTGGCGCACCATGGCCCGAGCCACGTGCGCGGACGCGCGGGGGGGCGAAGGAGGGGTTTTGGACGGGGGAGGGGTGGAGGGGGCAGGCGACGCACTGGCAGAAGAAGCCGAGGGGGGCATGACATCTGGAACATTTCATAGCCCCCCTCCCTCCCTCCCTCCCTCCCCTCCCCTCCCCTCCCTCCCCCCGTCTTAGCCACCCCCGACATCCGTGGGCGCCTCGCTCCTGGCGCGTCTGCCAGGATCTGAGCCCTGCAGAAAGCATGACACCCCACTGAGGGTCTGAAGGTTTTCCACCGTCGCTCTGAGGACGCCCAGGAAGGCGGGGGAGAGAGAGAAGGGGAGAGGAGGACTGGGGCAGAAGAAGAGGGGTCAAGAGAGAACTTTGTGCTGCCATATCAATGCGCGCGTACATGCATGTCGTCAACAAGCGCCCATACCAGCCCTGCTCTACTTTATTGTCAGAGTCAAGGGGCCAAGCGGTCTTACACCATCCATGGGTGCGTGCCTGACATGGGCTTCCGCGATGGAGATTCCTGTGGTTGTTTTGTTTGCTGTTTGTCATTGTCGGTGACCTCTCCTGCGACTCTCCCGAGACGCACCCGCAGCCCGCCCGTGACCACTCGCGACTCATACACATTGCTGGGACGAAAAAGTGCAAAGGGTCGGAGCCCGTGGCGGGCTTCTTCGGAGCCTCGTAGATTGCCGACGACCCCGTCTCCCTCTCATGCTTTTGCGCAACTGAGGGGGCCATGGTATGTTTCTCTCCCTTACCGATGCTGCACTCCATTTGCCATAGCACGTCCGCATGCGCGTCGCTTCCCATACTAATTCGAGCTCGATGGCTCCTTCCGCGCGCGCCAAGCTTGCCTTCACTGTACGACCGACGAGAGCTCAGATAGCACCGTCGCGCAGAGATCCTCAGATCTTCGAGCGTGGTTGCTCTGGGGGGCAACACCGAGCTACGTATTGGGCCGAACAACGACGAACCCCGCGCAGACGTCGAGGGAGGGATAGAGATGGCAGAGAGCTGACACTCGTTTTCCGCGGGGCGTGCGTTCTTCTCCGCCACGGGGACTCGGATCAGCCATCCGATTCACTTGGGCACTCAAAGGGAATGAATCATGCTTGCAAGCACGCGTGGACCAAGGCCTGGATCGAAGGAGTGACCTGACGTGAGAACTGTGAAACTGATCAACTTGCACCTTCCATCACTCAGCAGAATGTGTGTGTGTGTGCGTTGGGAGGAGAGGCAAAAACAACGCCCTGCTTCCCGACTCAATCCAAAACATTGCCGTCGAGCCTATCGTTCAGAGACTCGTTCTCCAGTCTCAGCTCCTCCATCTTCTGCATCATAAGGTTGATCTGTTCGCGTAGGGCCTTGTTGTCGTTCCTCATCCCCTGGAGCTCCCTCGTAGAACAAGAAATGCCGGCACAAACATACACTTTTGGAAATCCACGTGGATTTCTTGAATCTGAGCTGGAACCCCCTCCCAGGCGCGTGGAGCGCGTCAAGGGCAGCGCCGGAGGCGCCGCCAGGGGGGGCACAATGCAAATCCAAGAAATCCGCGCGGAGCTCCGAAAATCCCACCAGCCCTCTGGACGTAGGTGGTCTAGGGAGGCTCCTCTTCCAACCCCCTTCTTCACTTTCGGGGAGGGGCCTATCACTGTTCCCTATTAATATACACCCCCTCCCCCAGGCGACCGGCAGCCAACCAGGAACCATGCTCACACACCCCGACCAGTCCTGTCAAAAAAACAATGCAAACCGCACTCTGCCTCCACATTTGGAGCATGCGCGGCCAACCCGATGCGGCCCCCCCAACACACACGCACACACACCATCCCTGTCAAAAGACAATTCAAAGTACACTTTGGGGCAAAGTGTGGAATCATGTTCGTGAGGCCCGCGAGCACTTTGTAGTGTTTTTTGACAGGAGCGGCGGGGGTGTCAGCATATTCCGTGCTGTGCGCAGGGCTACCACCCCTGACAAAAGAAACAATACAACATGCACCTCGCGGCTAAATCTGGATCATGCGCGGCCATCCCGCGATCACTTTCAAGTGGTCTTTGACGAGGACGGCGGGGGTGGTGGCGCGTGGCCTGCTGTGCGCAGGCCCACCAGACATCACGATGGGCATTTGTTTTCGACAAGGATGGTGGGGGCCGTCATGTTTCCCGATGAGTGCTGTCACGTGCGCAGGCGCACCTGACGCACTCTGCCCGTGGCCCGAACGTGGCGCACGTGGCGCGGCTGGAGTGTGCGGCACACCTGGCGCACGCGGAGGCACGTGGCGCATCTGGCGCACCAGGAGTGCCTGGCAGGCTCGGGCCCCAGGGGTGCCTGGCGCGCGTGGCGCGCCTGGCACGCGTGGCGCACCTCGACCAAGCGTCGCGCACCTGGGGTCGGCTTTGGTTCCCAGTAGCTGTCCATCCAAAGACGACCGCTGAACATGCTCAGGCTCGGGTGTTACTCATGTGTAGGGAAGGCGGGTGGGAGTGAGCCAGACGGCTTGCGGGCGGGCGGGTAGCTTGACCCCTCCCTCTACCCCCTCCCCAGACCCCCGACGTCATGAATTTTTCATGACGTCGACCCCCAGAGGTCCAGACCCATTCCCCGGGACTGGTTTTTCGTCCTGAGTCGTTTTTTGACGGTCCCGAGGGCCGGTAAGGGCCCCCAGAGGCCGAAAATCATGAAAAACCTCGCGTCGTGATTTTTTCATAACTCGAGGGGGTCTGGGTACCCTGGACCTGGGCGGGGGGGGGGTCGCCAGCGATCCGAGCACCGTTTGCGGATGGGCTGGTGGGGATACGCGAAGTGCAAGAGCTTATGCTCATGCCGCGCTCGACCTCTCGATCGGGGGGGCCACCGGCGATCCGTCGGCGATGCACCTCCTCCTCCCCCTCCTCCTCCCCCTCCTCCTCCCCCTCCCCCTCCTCCTCCTCCTCCTCCTCCTCCTCCTCCTCGTCCTCCTCCTCCTCCTCCTCCTCCTCCTCCTCCCCCTCCTCCCCCTCCTCCCCATCCTCCTCTTTCCTCCCTCGACCTCTGGACAACGCCCATGTCGTGGGGCGCCGGAGATGGCGGATCCGGAGCAGCCGGCTCTGCCGGCAGCGGTCCGCGCCCGGCCTCGAGCTGGCGCTCCGCGGCGCCCATCGCCTCTTCATGCGGCAACGCATGGGAGGCTCCCATGTGGGACGGAGGTGGAGGGGCGAGGAGGAGGTGGAGGAGGAGGAGGAGGAGGAGGAGGAGGAGGAGGAGGAGGAGGAGGAGAGGGATGAGGATGAGGATGAGGATGAGGATGAGGATGATGATGATGATGATGATGATGATGAGGAGGAGGAGGAGGAGGAGGAGGAGGAGGAGGAGGAGGGAGTGAGGGATGGAGGGAGGTATGGAGGGAGGGAGGGAGGGAGGGGAGAGGGGAGGAGGGGGAAGGAGGACGAAGAAGCGCGGGAAGGAATCGAGACAAAATCGGACCGATATAAATCGGACATCTATGAGAGTCGGCGGGTTTGGAAGAGGTGTCGGGCGCCGCGGCCGGTTCAGAGCGTTCTGGAACGCTCAGAGAGCGTTGCGGAACGCTCTGGAACTGATTTATCTCGATTCTGGGCCAGTCCGACATTGTGCCGGCTCTTGCGAACCGACGCTCACCGACGCTAATCGGCGCTCGCCGACGCTGAGTGGACGCTGCATCGGCGCTCCCTCATCGATTGCCAGACGCCAGCGCACGCCGACGCACTCGAAAGACGGAGCTCCGGGGGGGGCACACGAGGCTCCCATGACCCACAACCGCCGCCGCCTCCATGAACATCGAGTCCAGCGTGCCGTCCGAGCAATGCTCCTCCAGCATGCCCCGGACACGGCTCTTGACGGCGTCGCCGCGGCCGCCGTGCGCCCAGGAGCCCTGCGGGGCGGCCTGCTCCGCGCCCCCGGGCGCGCCCGCGCCCGCCTCCTGGCCGTGGGGCGCCGGGGCGCCCTCGGGCGCCGCCTGGCCGCCCTCCGCCGCAGCCTCGCGCAGCCCGTCCGCCGCCACCGCGGGGGCGTCCTGGGGCTCCGCGCCGTCAGCGTCGCCGCCCGCCGTGACCTGAGGGGCAGCGATCCAAGGGGGGGGGGGGGGGGGGGCAGGCACAGAGGGGGGGAGCCTCTAGTCGGCGGCGAGGCATCGCCGACGGATCGGCCACAGGGCCCCGATGGTGACTCCGCACGCTCCTGGCAGGCGGGGGCCATCGGGCCCCTCTCGGCGATCGAGGGGCGGTTGGGGGTCGATGCGCCCCCCCCCTGTTCCGCACGCCCCCTACTGCTGCTGCCCCTGATGACCTCGCGCAGGCCGTTCGCCACCCTGGCCCGGGCGTCCTCGGGCCTCGCGGCGGCGGAGTCGCCGCTCTCGCGGAAGGCCGCCTGCTGCTGGCCGCTGCCGCACGCCTCCTCTCGGCCACACGTAGGGGTGACCCTGGGCAACAGTGACCTTGCGGTGCGCGGCTTTCGGGGGCCGCAGTGGGGCCACATCCAAGCGTGCTGGCCGATGCTGGGGGGACCACTGCGAGCCCGCACCCAGGGTCACTCCGGCGAAGGGTCACTCTTGCGTGCAGTCGATCCTCGAGCGCCACCCTCATGTTCTGCCGGTTGTCGTCCTTGGCCCCGGCCTCGACCTCCGGGGCCGCCTGCGGCGGGGCCTCCTCGCCGCCCGGCGCCGCCCCCATGACCTCGTCGAAGGCCCTCTGCAGATCGCCGCCCACGCACACCTGCCGCAGCCCCTGCCTCAGCTCCTGCTGCAGGCTCTGCCTCAGCTCCTGCCTGGGCCCCGACGGCGGCAGAGAACGGAGCGGCACACCCACGGACTCTCGGAGGTCCCAGCATGCCTCTCGCAGCTCGGCGCGGGGCGCCCCTCCCCGGCGCGCGGATCACGCCGGGGGCTGTCCAGCGCCGGCTCCAGGAAACGTGCGCGGACCACTGAGAGGCTTGTGCATCTGTGCGGCTGTGTCCTCGTCCGGATGATCGGAGGACGGACAGCTGAGACGACGGTGGCGCTCCCGCCCGACTCCTACTCGTGCAGCGTCGGCCCCACAGACCCCTCCTGATGCCCATCCTGGCCCGCCTGTCGAGGCGGATCCAGCCGCCGTGGCGACGAGAAGCCTCCAGGAGGCCCAAGAAGGGTTCGAGCAGGAGACAGGCTGCAGGATTGATTCCCCCCCCACGTGTCATTTTCGCCGAACCTAACCAACCAGAATCACAATCTGCGCAAATGCACTGATCACACGAGACGCCCTTTCCGCACACTCGACGCACACTTCGGTCTTGGGGCTATACCCCATCCTGCAGTCGATCTCCTAACTACGCGAAGGACGGGACACGGGCCGCCGCTGTCGAGCCACCGGCCCTCCGAGATGCGACCAGACAGTTGCTGTCCCCTGGTATAGGCCTCCCAGATGGGGTCGGAGTAGATGGGGTCGGAGGACCGCGCCGCATCGGCGATATATCGGCGATGCATCGGCGATGCATCTGCGGTGCACCAGCGGTGCATCGTCGACACGGGCGATGCCTCGGTGACGCCGACGTGAAGCAGACCGGGCTCCACACCGAGCCGCCTCGTCGACGCGTCGGCAACATGCGGCGTATCTGTTACCCTTCGTTTTCCAGGGCTTCACCCACCACGCGTGGCAGGGAATGCATACACACCCCAAAAGGGGGTACGATCGAAGACGCGCGATCCTCCGGCCCCACCTGCTCCGCCCCCCATCGGGAGCGGCCAAGAGGGGGGTGTCCAAGAGGGGGGGGCGCAAATCATGACCGGGGCATGTGCGCGGCCCAGCGGCGGGACCAGGGACGTAATGAAATCAGAAGGGGCGCCATGAAATCTGGGGAAATATCATGGCCCGCGCCCTGAAATCCCCCCCCCCCCTAGTCATCACCCCCCTCTTTTCCGCCCCCGACCCCATCTGGGAGGCCCGGACCTGGGCCCCGGGCTCTCCGGTCGGAGCCGCTCCCCGCACTCTCCGCGGGCGGCGCGGCCTCCGCGGCGCCCGGGGCCCCGGGGGGCTCCCCGCAGCCCTCCCGGGGGGGCCCCTCGCGCGGAGCGTCGCGCGGCGCGTCGCGCGGGGCGTCGCCGAGCACGGCGCAGGCCCGCTCCAGCTCGCTGGCGATCGCCGGCGAGGCCGACCCCTCCTGAGACGGCGCCTCGCCGCCGGGGCCCTCCTTGGTGCAGTGAAAACGTATAGTGAGGACGCGTGGTAAGGACGCAAGACCCTTGGAGGCCGAAGTTGACGTATTCTGGCCTGCGAAAGTTGCTGGGGACGGGCCGCAGAGGCTGAGGCAGTCAAGGACCCAAAGTCGTTTGTCCTTACTATGCGCGTTGACTGTAGAGGAGCAAGCGGCGGCAGAAGCACGATTTCTCGGAGGTCCCCGCGGGCTTCTGGGGGGCATCGGCGCGGACCTCAGACAGCTCACGCTTGCGTGCCGCTGCTTGCCCTGCGGCTCCTCGTGCACTCTCTCGCACATCCGCCCGACGCCGGGCTTGTGGTCGAAGAGCCAGCCCCTGCCGTCCGCGAGCCGCAGGAAGAGCACGCCGCCCTCGCCCTCCCGCGCCTCGGCCACCCGGAACCGCTCGCCTTAAGTCGGGCCTGTCCCCCTACAGTGGGATTTTCGACGGAACAAATACTCAAAAAGTACTCCAAAGATGCCCAACAATAGTCAAACGTCGTCCCCAGATTATGTTTGACGCTGTTTCCTATTTTGGAATATTTGTTTCATATTCTATATTTTTCGTCGAAAATCCCCCTGTAGGGGGGCAGGCCCCACTTAACGCTCGCCTGGTCTCATCTGGTAGCCCGACGCGTCGACGGCCTCTTCGCACCCGATCTGGGGCGTGCGGCGGATCGCCACGGCGAGCCCGTTCTCCGGCCTGTACACCCACAGCTGTGTCCTGGCGTGCAGCTGCTGCAGCATGAACGCGTAGGGGTCCTGCGGCCTGTCGCGCACGATCGCCTGCAGCAGGGACTGGAAGCCCGCCACCGCGTCTGCGCCGCGTGTGTGCGTGTCAGGGTGCCGGGCGGTGCTGCGGGAAGGTGCCGATGGCTTCAGGGGGCCGCCGTCCCCTCTCCAGCGGCACGCAAACGTGGCCCTGGGCAAGATTGACGACCAGTGCTGAGCGGCTTGCCGATCGTTGCCTGCGATGCGACGAGGGCGGCCTGCGTCTTTGGGCCTGCCCCTCCCGTCCGCGCCCCCCCCCCGACGCCGCGCACCAAAGGCCACTCCGGCGAAAGGTAGCTCTTACGCCGACTTCTGGCGACGACGGCCACGCAAGCTTCGAGCCTCGAGCTGCGGACCCTTGCCTCCAATAACGGATGACGCCCTCGCACCCCTCCCACCCGCAAGCGCCGGGGGGGGGCAGCAACAACTAGGAGGCGAAGGGAGGCAAGAAGCTACGACCGAACGGCGGACGTGACGACGATGACGACGACGATGACGTCGTCGCCCTCGCCATCGGAAAGAAGGAGCCACGACGACGGTCGGCGGACATGACGGCATCGACTCCCGGAGCCCGCAGGCACCGCTCCACCTGGGCGGCGACAGATGGGGGGCGATATGTACGGAGGGGCAGCGAGGGCTGCCGAAGAGGGGCCCGTTAAGGGCCCCTATAGAGGGGCCCTTTGGGATTGGGACCCAGGAGGGGGCCTTGAGGGCCCGAGGATGGCAATTTTCAAGATGTCCTATATCGACGGAGAGGAGGAGGAGGAGGAGGAGGAGGAGGAGGAGGAGGAGGAGGAGGAGGAGGAGGAGGAGGAGGAGGAGGAGGAGGAGGAGGAGGAGGAGGAGGAGGAGGAGGAGGAGCAGGAGGAGGAGGAGGAGGAGGAGGAGGAGGAGGAGGAGGAGGAGGAGGAGGAGGAGGAGGAGGAGGAGGAGGAGGAGGAGGAGGAGGAGGAGGAGGAGGAGGAGGAGGAGGAGGAGGAGGAGGAGGAGAGGAGGAGGAGGAGGAGGAGGAGGGAGGAGGAGGAGGAGGAGGAGGAGGAGGAGGAGGTGGGCTGGCGGTGAAGGACCCCATGGGTCTGCTATGCCAACAAGTGGGGGGAGACGAGTGCCCCTCTCGGGCCGAGGAGGGCACTCCGTCTCCCCCCCTCCGACCGTCGCCCCCCCTCCATGACTTCGCGCCCAAGTGGGCAGAATGGCATCGCCTCCGGGGGCCCGCAGGCACCGTGCTCCCCCCCCCCCCCCTTGGGCTCCATCTGGGCTGTGCCCTCGGAGCAGAATGCCCCTTGTGGGCGACCGCATACGCGCGCAGGGCGTTGGCTCCCCGAAGGGGGCCCGCGAGCGCTTCGGCGCGCCCCACCGAGCCGAAGGGAGCCCTCAGAGGCCCTCGGAGGGCTCTGCGAGGGCCCCAGGGTCGGCGGCGAGCGAGGGGGGGAGGTGAGAAGGAGAAGGCCTTCTCAGAAGGCGGCGGGACTACTCGGAAGCCCTCGCGCATGCTGAGAATTCTTCCCAGCTTTCTACGTCTCCGGGGAAGGCTCAGAAAACTTCTCGGAAGGCCCGAGGTCTTCCAACTTCCAAGCCTTCTGCGAAAACCTTCTCCTTCTCACTTCCCCCTCTCGCTCGCCGTCGATGCCTGGGAGGCTCCCGTGAGTTGCCACAGTTGAGCAGGGACCGACCGTCCCGGCATTCCTATAGTCCTACCACGAAATGTTCTCAGGACCCAACACATGTTCTGAGAACCCAAACAAGGTTCTCAGAACATAAGGACCCGATGTGTTAACACAAGACGATCTCAGCCAGACATGTTCTGAGAACATTCCGTGGAGACCACAAAAGGCTCTTAGAACATTGCTTGGTAGGGCTGTAGGCGAGCCAGGACGCTCCGCCGCTGCTTGCTTGAGTCACAGAGAGGGGGCGATGGGCGCCGCGGAGCGCCGGCTCGAGGCTGGCCGCGGGGCGGAAGGCCCAGGCAACGCACCAGCAGGCCGGAGGACTTCCGATTAGGTCGGGCACGTCCTCCGACGGGCGGATTTTCGGGTCGGGCGAAAGGGGGGGGATAGCAAAGGGGGGGCTTTGAGAATCAGCTCGCGTAGCTGATTTTCCCGGCGCCTCCCGGCGCCGGAGGCGGCTTTGTATCGAGGACTGGGCCCCTCGGGGAGGCCGAAAACAGCTGCATGCAGCAAATTTCGTACCCCCCCCTTTCCCAATCCCCCCCTTTCGTCCAGCCCGAGATCTGGGACAAAAAGTAAGACATACTCAAAACATGCCCAGACACAGTCAACAATAATATGGACAGATCGCCGCCAGACGATGTTCTGCACATGTCTGAACCCTCCTCCTGCAGAGGGACGTGCCCGACTTTCAATTTCCGAGCCTCCTGAGGAGGCCTGCTGCTGCTCACCTCCCCCCTGGCGGCGCGCCGCCGAGACAGCCAGGGCCTCGGGCAGCGCCCCGCGGAGGGCTCCGAGGCTCCGAGGGGGCAGAGCGGACGCGCTGTCCGGACTGTCTGGGGTGCTCTCGTGCCGCTATCATCGCGGCGGCGGGCGAGGGGGGGGGGAGCAAGTGAGAAGGAGAAGGCCCTCTCAGAAGGCGGCGGGGCCTCTCAGAAGCCCTCGCGCCCTCTGAGGAGTGTTTTGTTTGTCTTCCGGCAAGGCTCAGAACACTTCTCAGGAGGCCGGGGGACTCCCGAACCTTCTGAGAAGGCCTTCTCCTTCTCACTTCCTCCCCCTCGCTCGCCGCCGATATCAACTTTTAGGCTGCCGAGGGCTCCAGCATGAGCCTCCAGAGGGTGCACGGGAACATGCTCCTGGACGGTCCAGAGAACTCGAAGATGGCAAAAATATGACATCACAGATGGTCCTCCACACGCCAAGATGGCCCCAGATGCCTACCTCCAAGGTGGCCCCGAGGCGGCTCAAAGACAGCCCAGGACCATCCCAAGGATCCCATATACGACCGCCCCAGGCAGGCCCAGACAACGCCCAAGACGGCCCCGACCATATTCCTAGACGTCCGACTCCGAACACCCTGTACCCAAAAACGTTCTCATCTCTTGGGTGCGCATTTTCTACTTCCGCCGCCTTCCGCCGAGCTTCCGCCGACTTCCGCCGGCGGAGGCGGCCTCGTTCTACTTCCGCCGACCTTTCGCCGCCTTCCGTCGCGGAAGAGATGACAACTCCTTCGATCCTCGAAGGCAAAGCCATTTTTGGAGCGCCCCAGATTGCCCCAGGGAAACGGCGGCGGGGTTTGCCGCAAGCACCTGGATACTGCATCACGCCCGTCTCATCCAGGTAGGCCTTCGCCGGGCTGGCTGCGTCCTGGTCCCTGTCCCCCCCCCCTTGCGCCACGGCGTCGCCAGTGCCCTGTCCGTCGACATCGCCGTGCAGCCCCTGGACGTGCATGCTCATGTCGAACACGCCGTCGCTCTCGCTTCCTGCACCAGCCAAGTAGACAGAGTAGTCGCCCAGCCCCTTCTGGAGCACGAGCTGCGTGGATGCCACTACCTTCATGACCTCGATGAGGACGGGCTCGGCAATGCTCTCTGGATCGGTCGGGAACCTGACGGGTGTCTTGCGCAGCTTCTCCACCAGCGCCTGCCGCCGCGTCTCCCCCATGCGAAAGGAGACCACGTGGCCGTCCGGGATGTTGGTGCTGCCCATGCAGAGCTCCATGGCCGCCCAGTGGCGCCGCGCAGCACCGCCAGACGCCCGCGGCACGGCACCCCGAGGAGAGCACGGGTGAGCTGGCGGCCCGGGCGAAGGGCCCGGCCAGACTGCCGCCCAGGCATCCGCTGGAGCCAAAACGGCTCCGGACGAGTAAGGCTAGACGCGCTCTCCGAGTGCGCGTGGTACGTCGCCGTGCCCCCCGTCCAGCTCTCCAGCTCCCGCGGGCTCAAGAGCCCGACCGCACCAGGTGCAGCACTCGTGCCCTAGTGCCGTCGCCCCGCGGGCACCATCGAATGCAGTGGAGGTTTTTTCCTTTCCTTGTCCGCAGACGCGGGTGCTGCTCAGAGCGCTGTGGCACCTGCGAGGAGTCTCGACTGGCCGTCAGGCTGACGCCGGAAGCCATCTCTACTGCAATTCTTCGCCACCCAGGTGTTACACAGCTGGCGGCATGCGTGGCCCCTTCGGGAGATGGGTGGAGACGCTGCGCGGATGCGCACCCTGCTGTGCTTGAGGACCACACGGCAGCGGGCGAAGTATCAAAATTCTTGAGTGTGCGAGGCGGCGGAGGAGGAGGAGGAGGAGAAGGAGGAGGAGGAGGAGGAGGAGGAGGAGGCAGCGGACGCACTCACACGAGCAACGCCGCGGCCCGCCACAAGGCTGGCCCCGAGATGCCGGCCTCGTCGAACGGCCTGCATTCCCTGCACATCACCTCTGGCGCTTCCTGCCACTCGCTCTGCCACGCATCTCTGTAGTAAGTGACGAACTCTGGCATCGTGTACATCGCGCCGTTCTTGGCGATCCTCTGCTGCGTGGCCACGGACGCCGACTGCCACTTGGTGCCCCAGCTGGTGCCGAAATAGTCGAAGAACTGAGCCGCCGTGTATGCCACCCGATCGTTCGGCAGGAACCTCTTCTCCTCGGGTGCCGCGTTCCACTCCACCAGCCACGAGTCGTCCCCGTAGTAGGTGACGAACTCCCAGGCGGCGTACAGTTCGCCGTTCTTTGCGTAGCGCTTCGGGATCCCCTGCAGGTTCGCGTTCACCGCCTTCTGGCTGCACCCCTTGAACTTGTCGCCTGCTTTGCACGTGGCCACGTCCGCGCCGGCCTTCGCAAGGCTGATGGCGGCATCCATCGCGGCTTTCTTGTCCAGCTTGTCGATCTTGGACCCCATGGCTTTGTACGCGGCGTCCAGCTGCGTCGAGCTGGCGTGCCGCAGGACGAGCTGAACGGTCAGGTTCTGGGCCATGCTGGAGGTCACGCCGCCGCCGACCAAGACTTTGTATAGCTCCAGCATCGAGTACTCCGCGTGCACCGGCGACGGGTTCACGTGCTGGTAGGCGAGCCTCAGGAAGGTGTCCGGTGCCTTCCAAGTCGCCTGGCTCTGCCGCGTGAGCTCGTCGCACGCCTTCTTCAGATCCGTGAGAGTCGAGATGGTGATGTTGCAGGCCTGCAGGTTCGCCACCTCCCGCTTGGCGTAGAGCTCGGCCTTCTTCGAGCCCCAGCTCAGCCCTCCTCCGGAGCAGAAGAAGTAGCGGTACTCGTCCTCGGTGGCGGGCGCGCCCTTCGGGCTGGCCTGCGGCTTCGCCCCGCACGTGCTGCCGGCCGAAGGGGGCGGCGCGTCGCAGCCCGACAGGAGCAGCGCCAGCGGCGGCAGCGCCAGTGCGCAGGCCGCCCTCGCAGCACACCTGGAGGCCATCGTACGCCGAATGCGCCGCGTGGAAGTCACCCAACCGATCGTCGCTCAAAACACCCTCGTGCCGAGTCGACTTGAGCCAACATGGGCGACGGAAAATGCCAGTGGAGGTCTTGAGGAGGAAAACCTTGA